ACGGTGGCCATCAAATGAACCCGAAGCAATCAGTGCTCCTGGTCGAAGTTGAAGAGTTACGAGGCGGGCCAATGGCGAAAGGCAGATCGATGCCTGCGCACTTGTGTAAGCACATCACACATCTGCATAAGAACTTTTTGCGTGTAGATGCTCCTGGCAAACAAACTTAGATGTCGATAAGGAGGTTCTCAAAAACACCTTGCGCTTGTGAAGCGTTTTTCATAAGGGCTTCGTTTGCGGTCAATTCCTAATTGTCCGGGTTATAACTTTTCAACTGCACTGAGTCAAAACTTGGATACAACTTGGAGCCTTATTCATTGGAAAAAAACGGGAGGATGGAGATTACTACTGTCTTATCTATGTGAGCAATGCTCCTCGGTAATGCGCTGAACAGCTTAGCAGTCAAAACTTGCACAATCCACCGCCACGCCTCAGACGGCACTGCACAAACCATGCCTCGGCGAAATCTGAGAGGCAACGGTGCATGAATTACCAATACTCCGGCAGTTGATCCGTCCAGGAATGACCCTCCTTTATAGTTGTATTTTTCAGAATATTGTTTTACGAACTTAATCCTGCACACACATAGTTCATTGTATGCGATCGTGTACATGCTTTTTGGGTGTCAAAATTTCCATAGAACCTCCTCCGAACTTTTGTCATTACTAATACCGTGCGAACATTTGCCTACCAACTTTCATTTATCATCAATCATTTACGCGCGAGCTTTACACACGTGCTTTTGTGTCACGAGCTTCATTCCTTGATACATTTGCTTACGAACCACGGTTGCTGCTTACGAACGTTTCCGCGTGTGCGTTATACACAAGCACTTTTTACGCACAAAGCCGTTCGCGACTTACGTTCTAGCATCCTTCCATCGCATTTGAGCTCGGTTTTCAATGGCTGCGTGGTGACAGCTGGCGGCGGTCGGACACCCCCTGCTGCAGTGGAACTGACCCGACCTGACCTGATTGGTGGCAGAGCCCGGGCCGCTGGCCAGGGTGTGGCGTCCTTTCGCATCCGAGACAGCTGAGCGTGCAAGAATGAGACTTGGCTCGGGCTGGCGCCGGTCCCACCGGGACCTGCTCGAAGCCCTGGACGGTGGCACGGAGCGCGAGGATATCGTCAATGAACTAGTTGATGATATTTTCGAATGCCATAGCTCACATTGCAGTCGTCAAGCGTAAGGGCAGCGAGGCCGCAAACATGATCGCATGAAAGCTGAAATACCTGAAACTCACGTGGAACATCACGCCAGCAAAATCCAAGTTTTTGTCCCCGGCAAAAAAGACTTTCTTCTAAACACGTAGCCACCATATAACAGGCTCAGGATCCCTAAACGTCTGGCTCCATCCCGTCTGTTTGAGAGTCAGCACAAGCAAAACCGAACTGGTGGTGTTTGGCTCCCGTTGGATTTATCGCCACATGGCCCCGACGTCCGTTTCACACCGCAAGGACATGGTGTGTCAGTATTACACGGCACATAACCGAGCCCCACAACGTCGGGCCGTTCGCTGACCATCGTCAGTTTAAATGGTCGCTGCGCAAGCGTATGTCAATGGCAGTACTCCAAACCGCCCACCAATCCCCCAACGACACCACAAACACAACGACGCAAACATACCGAGTGAATAGTCGAGCTTGTAGAATAAATTCGCGAATTCGATGCGCAGGAGTCACACCGTGACAACTTTCCGCCGTCCGTCCAAACGCAGTGTTTAAGTGCTATTTTCTCTGCCTCCGCAAAATGTGATGCACGGATGAGCCATAGTCTCACGCCCTCAGATCCGGGCCGGCACAGAATTCCTCTCCGACTGCACTCGCCTTACGTCACCGGTCCTCCTCCACGCATGAGGACTAACGTAGGCGGCGACGCTTTCTGTTCAACACTGAGGTACTGTGCAACTAGCTGCTCGCCGCACTGCGGGGCTCGTTGGTGGGAGCTTCGTCAAACGACTTTTGGTGTCAGTGAGCAGCTTATGAGATCTATGATGGGACGGAGTTTGCGCGAGCGTTTGCGTTCATCCGTTTGCATCTGTGTTTGCTACACACCGTTTGCCTTGTCTTTCCTTTCAGCCTTGAATCGAAATCCAAAATAGCCATTGTATCATTGAAGTATCTCTGCTGTCAACGTCTACTGTCTTGTGTCAATACATCCGTCAATATTGCCATTTTATACATATACGCCTCTGCATATATATATATATATATATATATATATATATATATATACATATATTCACACCTTATACTAGCTCGCGAAGCGTCTCACAGAACAACAGCTGCATCATCAGGCAAAGAAACACACGCTCAGTGTAAACTATAATGGTTTACGACACGCACAGACAAGCTGAAAATACCACACACGCCCATGCGATGATACGCGACCAACCCCGGAATTCTACAGATATATTTCATCTCATAACACGTGGACGTGTTTTAACGCCAAAGAGAACACTGGCGCTGTACAACTCGCTGCTCACCGAACTGCCGATGCGCACGGACAGCACTCAACCAGCTCTCCCAAACACGTCCTCGTGGACGTGGACATGTGAACACGTGATTCGCAGTGTGAACGTGTGTGTTCTTTTTCTGGTAATGCAGCCGTCGTTCTGTGAAACGCGTCACAAGATCATATAATATGCATAGGTTGATCAGGATATCTTGATGTGTCACATCTTAATAAGTTATACACATACACATACACACACACATATATATGTACATATATATATATATATATATATATATATATATATATATATATATATATATTATCATATATACGCCACATGCTATACATGCGAAAGGACGGGGCGACAGCCTGTTGCACCCTGTCCCTGCGTATGTCTTGTACTGCTAACACTGGTTTGTACGATTCCCTCGCTGGCTGCTTCTCAACGGCCTTAATCACACAAGCTGCAATCAGGTGGCGACAATGCGGGGCGACCGGCCCGAAGCTGAGTGTGCAGTTCCTGCACGACGGAGCAGGCAAACTTTCATCGCGCGGCCGTCATGCAGAGCCAGGGACGCGGTCAGTTCAGCGGTGTCGCAAGGGCAGGTGCGATCACTTCCGCCAGTCCAGGACTGTCGCTGAAAACGACCACAATGCCAGCGAAGAGGCTTCCATTTCATTGACAAGATATGTCGGGCCTAGATCAAGGAAGTCTGATAGGCTGCGCGCCGCAAACAGCTGGCAACATTGCTTGATTTAGTGGGCACTGCTTACCACATGTCGATGATGATAGGAATGTCGTGTAAATGCTGATGCACATGGCAAGTTTAGCCATACACACGAGCATGCACGTGCGCACGCCACGCACGCACCAGTATATGGATAATATATATATATATATATATATATATATATATATATATATATATTTGTATATATATATATAAGTAGTATGTATATAAACATACGAATAGTATATAAGTTTTAATAAGTGTATATATATATATATATATATATGCATATATATTCGTATTTACTTAGCAAAACGGGTGAGGCCAACTACCGATCCACATGAAAAAGGTGATCATCAGTGGTGTATTAATAAATCAGCTAGCAAATCACACCAGTCGTGTACCTATTCCATCGTTAGGTCTTGTACGCGGGCTATGGCAGAAGTATTGGTAATGGGCATTTTGAACAAAGAACCCCGGTTTTCACGTACAGAACCAGACCACAACCACAGCAACTGCGCAGTGGAACGGATTGGAGTATAAGTGGAGTAGTACCCAGCATGTCAACTTTTCCACCTACCAATGCATTTCATGCGTGACGCGACCGGGCGGGTGTTGTTAAACGAAGGGTTGACAGTGATTCGTAATTCAGGGACATGCCTAGTGTTCGTGCGCCTTCTGACTTTCAACACTTCGAATCATTTCGGGTTATTCAAGGGCGGTGTATCCACTGCCACCGGCGCGGCCGTGCTCCTCTGTCATTAGCTCTCTTTTCGTCAGCCCGATCCGTCAGCGGGGACAGGTCAACCGTGGTGCCCGGTCGCCGGCGCCGCTGGCGCAACCTCATTATCACGCCGCCAATCCGTGTGAAGAACCTGCCCACTGGCGGTCGAGTCACGCCGCGCCCGCCGCCGCTCGTGCCCGGGCTTCCGCCGGTGACGGGTCCGCAGACGAGGAGATCGTGAACACTCGACCGCGAGGGATTCGCTGACGTATTGCGGCATAGCGGGACGCGGTGGCGGGTGGGGTGGCGACAGCGTGCTGGCATGTTGACCGACAGCGGCTGGCGAGACTTAGAGGCAATGGCCGACCAGGATTTCCAGCACAAGACGAGTACATAAAAGACGGGATTTGCGCAAGTTGTTCATACAATGAAGCGCTTGGCCCAGCCACCCACAGTTGGCAAACAATGTTAGATTGCAGCATTCCACGTTATGACCCTCTCATCCTCCTTTAGTTCCCCCTTCCCGAGTTACTTTCAAGCGCTTGTCGGGTTCGCATCCCCTTGGGATGATCTGGGACTACACCGCTGAAATACTTGCGAATAACACGTGCCCCTTTCGCTCTTCCATTACCTATCAACAGCCGGAGAAAGACCCTTCTAGCTGGTATATTTGGACGCAAAGACGGAATGCAATAGCGCTTGAGCGTCAGCTCTGGCGTATACTGGACGGATTCACAAGCCTCATACGAGTGGACGGGATGGGCACAGTCATTGTAACGTGTAGATATTGTCACACACAGTAACGTCAGTTATAAAAATATCCATCCAAAAGTGGAATACACTGCGCGTATGAACGATAGCAGCCGGGTACAATTGGTAGAAAGCGCTGCGCCACGAGGTGCAAAAGCCTACACGAATAAAAGCAGGCCGCTATGCCGACGTGCAATATGCTAGGCGTGTCAAGCAACCGCCGGTGAAAAGAGTCCATACAAAATATATGCTACAGTGATACATCCGACAAGCAGGCGCGGAGGTAGGCGCATCAAAACTAATATGTGCAGTTCACATATCTTTCAGCTGTGGATATTTCCTCGAGGCTCCACGACGCCTGCTTGCTTCGATGTAACTGTTGAAAACATACGACCTAAAACCATGATCTCTGCAGCAAAAAGCGCGCGCAGCGTTGCTCTGGAGCCACACGTGAGCCTACTGTCCTAGCCGAGATCCCGGGTACGATCCTGCCGGAGAACGTGACCAGCAAAGCGCCTCGCGTTCTGGCCGGCCTGCTGCAACCACGCCCACGGGCGCAGAGCACGGCCGGCCCGGGGCCCGCGAGCTGGTGCGCACAGTCAGACCAGCGCTCACCAATGACATTGACTCTGACTCGAAAGTGCCGTCGTCGTCCGTCCACGGCGTGGTATCGGTGCAGCCACATCCAGAGGCCCGTACACTGGGCGCACGCCCTGCCCAGCCGTGCGCATCACACACTAGCTACGGATTCCGTCACGTTTGAGCCGTCTGCTTCCGATCTTTGCGCAGATCTGGGGCGAGCGCAAGGCAATGCACGGGTGGCGAGCCAGTGAGCGGCTGCGGCGACTCGAGCCAGCTGTGCACGCCGCGGCTCGACCACGCGGGCACCAGGTCCGGGTGAGGAGCGGTCATCTGGCGACCGGGGCGTCCCGGTCCGAAGCACACGACGATGACAACACGGCGAGCCGAACCGCACGACCACCGACGGCTGACCGTCACCACCACAAAGACGGCCGGCCGAATGGATCTGAGGATCGTGTTCAGGCACGCCAAGGCGGCCGCCTCGCTGGGCCAACGCCGACGACCCCAGGACCCGAGCTGCACAGCCGCTGGACAGGCCGGCGGGCGCCTCCTCGGACAGCGCAGCGGGGCCCGCGCGCCGAGTCACACACGGTCCGAGATTCCGATCCTCAGTCGGTCGCGTGCGCCGCTTCTCCTAACAGCTATCCACCACTTCACGGACGACGGTTGCACTGTTGCACTGTGTGATTGGCGTGTCCTGTCCCCGGGTACGACAATGTACAGATGAGATGTGCTTCAGCCGCGCGTCACACCAGAAGGCGCGCGGCCGCCGCCACAGCGACCGTTGCCAGGGAGACGGCCAGGGACGCCGCGCCGGCTCGGCAGTCCACCACAGCGCGTGCCTCCAGGAAGTTTTTGCCTGCCGAGAAGGAGAGCACGTGAACACCTTTCATGGCTGAACGCGCTACTTCCGTGACAGACCAAACCATGTGCAGTGATAAGGTGCACAGACAAACACCGCATTCGTTCGTGAAATAAACAGTGGCACAAATCGCCTCAATATTGGCTGCCGTGCCCGGCTGCGCCACACGCTGTACCGAATCATTGCAAAGCCATGATGAGAATACAAAACACGACAACCGCACAGTATGAAGCCGTAAACATGCGCCCATAATGTGCAATCCGGAGGCAGGCAGCGCACGGTGTCACACGCATACGGTCCAAATACTGTCACCATCTCACGCTGTCTCGTGACTGGCCCGGGAGCTCAGTCCCCCTGATTAGGAGACCGTCTGCCAGTTCATTTCCACACCAGCTCCGTCTCAACGTATCCAAACAGCTGGCGAAGTTAGTGGTCACGCGCTGAGAGCCGTGCCTTCAGCGTCTCCACCACACAGTCCACGCTTCATTTACACAGCACTTGGCATTTCTCGCGCGTCCACTGACCCAGGTAGGCTCTGTAGTTGCGCTCGTCCTTGGGAATGGGCCGCAGCTGCTGCGCCGCGTCCGAGAAGATGAGGTCGGCCGTCGGCTCAGACGAGTGGAACATCTTGAAGCTGCAACATGACACGGCAAGGTCAGCCCCGGGGCCGCCAGACCGGAGGAGAACACCGTGTGCGGGGGAGTCTACCGTGCTCAACCCGCTCGCGCGGGCAAATCACGGCCACCTTTGCTCTCACTGCCCTCGTGAAAATTGTGACTCGCCGCCCCTCTCCGAGTTGCCGTCTCCGTTAAGAACAGACACTTTCCTTCCGGCTGACCTCGTCAACCCTATCACAGCCCAGAACTAGCACGCTACCTCAAAGTGCCCGCTCGTACTAGTATCACAAATCTCATACCTTCAGAGGTATTTCGCCTTCACACCCCGCACAATAGCTAATTGGCTGTCGCAGATCTGGTGAACCGAAGTAATGGGAGTCGAGCAGTCAGGAGAAGAGCACTACTAATCTGTGCAGTTCCAGTTTCGATCTCTTTCATTTTTTTCATGATGCTGATGGCGATAAGGTCTAGAAAGCATTCACACCTCCACACATTGTCAGAGGAAGATGAAGCGACCAAATTGCTATTCTGCCGCGACAGCGCATTCCACGGGCGCCGGTCGCACTACATCCGTGACAACACGAATACAATCATTCGAGTTTCTCCTTTGATATCAGGCCGGCAGCATATTTTCAGCATGGATCGCGGATGTAGCCCAGGAATCAGCGCGCACATTGATACATTCGAGGCAGCCAAGTAGGAAACTATTCTCCGCCAGTCGGCAGTGCGGGCCGACTGGCGGAGAATAGACGTTACAACAAAATACCAGTATTTCCCTAAGCTCGCGATCCATTGGGGCACATGGCGAATAATAATGACAAAGCTCTCCTACCTCTTAATGACATGTCCAGACGCATGCAACTGGTTTGGATTACTGTGCGAACCTTGCCAAAAGAACAGCCCGAAAATCATCATAAATCTGTCAGAAATGCACCCAGCACGCACACCACCCCACCACGCCGAAGACAGCTCCAAGACCGAAATCATCCTCACCACTGAGGCGGGCCGACCCTACTCACTTGAACTCGTCGCCGAACTTCTGTCCGAAGTGCTGCTGAGCGTGCATGAACAGGTTGAGGATGGTGTTGATCTCGGTCTCGTTCAGTGCCTCGCCCCCGCGCGTCACCATGGCGTTGGTGCGCACGCGGCCCACGTTGCACGTGGGGTAGTCCTGGATGCGGGCACGGGTGCCTGTACAGGGCAGGGCACGACAGTCACGGAGCCGCCAAGCGAGCCGCGAGCCACGGCAAGCAGCAGAGCCGACAATGATCTTCACCACAACTGGGGGCATAATCACATTTTCTTTTCAGGCATCTATCTTTATATTCAAGTGACCAGCTTTCTCGCTAGGTGAACACCAGTCAACCCCGACAGAATCGTCTGGCCGGCTGGTGACGCACCACCCCAGCAGAGCAACCGCCTGGTGAGTTGGTCAATCACACTGTCACCAGCTGCTCAGTCAGTTGGTGACATAACCTAGCAGAGCGGCCGCTCCAGCTGCTCGGTCACCTGGTGACACCATTCTAGCAGAGCAGTTGCTCGTTTAGCCGGTACCGTACCGTCACGGCAGAGCAGCTGGTAGTCGGCGGTCAGCTGGTTGCGCGCCCAGAACTCATGGCGCTTGCCGTCGCAGTTCTCCTGGACGGTGGTGTGCTTGACGAAGGCCACGTCCCCGCCGCCCTCCACCAGACAGCGGAACGCGCCTGCCGCAGCGTCACCACGTGAGCGTGCAGCACGGCGAGACGGCACAGCCCGACGGAGCACACTCAGAGGCATGTCAGCGACGCCCAGCCCACAGATTCCCAGCCGTGAGAGTGTAGATGGTCGAAAGGGTAAACTCTCGAATGCGTCTGCCTGCCTGCCTGCCTGCCTGCCCGCGTACACGCGATGAAGTGTTCTGGTGACAGCACACAGATCACGACTTCCGAGGGACTTGACTTACGTTCTACCAGACCTGTGGATGTTGACGTCATAATTCCCCGTCACATTCACTCCGCGTTTGATCAGACATGAACCTTACGCGGGAGCGTGAAGAGGGTCAGCCTAGGTCGCTGGAGGCAACACTTCTATAGCAGATGCAAACGTAAGCAGCATACTCCACCAGCACACAGAACGTACACATCTGCTGACCTGATCTGACCCTCCGCAGTCTTTACTAAACGGTACGCAGAGGGACGACTTCAAGCTGGGCCTTACGCCGGGTCAGGCTTGCGTCGAGGCCAAGCCCGCATGACGCGACAGGCTGCCGGGAGACGGCACCGCTCGATGCAGCGTGACGGAGGCACTCTGAAGGCGCGGCGCCTCCTCGGCCGCCACCGAGCGCGGCGCACGTAGCACCCCTCCCCGGCCACAGCCGCGCGGCGCCCCTTGACGGTGTGGCCATAGTACCCTCCTCTGCCGCCGCCAGGGCGCGGCGCCCCTCACCGGTGTGGCCAAAGTACCCCTCCTCTGCCGCCGCCGGGCGCGGCACCCCTCACCGGTGTGGCCGTAGTACCCCTCCGAGGCGTCCCGGGAGCAGTAGTTCCCACTGGAGCCGTGGCACAACTGACACAGGTTGTACCAGGTGTAGCCGAAGTTATAGTCGCTGCAAGCGGAACATGATAAAGAAGCGGACATCACCTCAGCATCGTTAATAATCATGTTTGCTTATGTTCGCGACGCCTGAGTTTTTACAATTCTCAACGTTACGATCCGTAACGCTGTCGGTAGCTGAAGAGGCCAAATACGGCTGACAAGACAGGAGTTCACACGCTACGGTATTACGTGAAGCCATATGACGTCCAACAATACTTATGCTGCTTTGGGGAACGCAAAAACGCGTACAGCGAACATGCCAAGGACTCACAGCAGTACACATAAACATCATACTAGACAAACCATCCAAAGGCACAAGGGGGGGGGGGGGGGGGAGGAGCTTCACAGCGGAGGCAGATCGCACAGCAGGTCCTGCCCTGTCCCCGGACAGCTGGTGAGGGCTCGAGCCTCGCGACGCACCTGCTGAGGGCGCCGGGCGCGCACGCCTTGGTGAAAGTCTGCGCCGCCGCCTGCACCGAGTTGCAGCCGTACCCGCGGATGCGCTCGTTGGAGATGAGGTAGGCGAGCGGGATCACCCAGCCGGCGCCGTCCATCACGCCCGTGTGACACGTCTTCTTGTCTGCGCGTCGGGGGAGGGGCGGGGGGGGGGGGGGCGTCAGGCATCAGTGAGAACGAGTGAGCAGGCATTTTTGGTGTTTCACTCCACAATGAGCCATAGATGCTGATACGAGCGCACCATCTGCACCTGGACAGCCGGGCAGGCACAACAGCCCTCCCCCCTCCCGGCACGCCGGCAGGACAACTGAGCCAACCGGCAATGCCACTCACTTCTCAGGTAGAGCAGGTCGGTGTCCAGGTCAGTCTCCTTGGAGACGGCCACTACGTAGAAGAAGGACTTGTCCTTGTCGTACACCTCGTTCATGATGGGTACCTGGTTGAAGCGCATGCCGGCCGTGTAGACGTCGCCCGGGTCCAGCATCACAATGTCGGCCAAACTGCGGACCACGTAGGGGTAGCTCAATGGAATGATCACATCCAATAATGAGCAAAAACGTCGCGCCGACACCCCAGCGGAGCCATCAAGGCTGACCGAGCGACTCGTCCACGAACCGCTCGAAGGCGCTGCGGCTGATTTACGCCACGGAGAACGGCCATAACATAACACCCTCAGCTGGAGCGGAAGGTGACTCCCAAACTGGGACGTCCATCCGCGCTTAACTGGGCGACTGCACAATGCTGAGGCGGCAAGAGCGCGAGCGAACGCGACCTGGGAGGCGGCACTGACCCCCTGTTGATGACCCGCATGCAGTCGACGGTGCTGTGTCCCCGGAAGCAGATCAGCTCCGGCTTCAGCAGCTGGGCCCGAAGCGCTTGCTGGGGAAGTCACGTGGGTCCGTGAGAAACGCCGCCAGCGAGGATGTGCTCAACGCGCGTCATTTGTGAAGTCATCATGGTTTCATATGGAAGCATCATTACACAGCATTGCACACAACAGCCATGCGCAGGAGGCCCCTCTTCCCAAAAGGCAATGGTGGCACAAAATGGTGTCATAGCAATCAACAATTACGTAGTAAGTAGCCGGACTTGATCTCTAAGTACATTGCACTGGTATCGTATACGAAAGCTACCAGTGTGAATACCAGACCACAAAGCACACCACCTCCTTCCACCTTCACATTAATTTTCTCACGTCACATTCATCGTACAGCATTCGCCCCAAAAGTATGGAGGTCGCCCCCAACGGCCGGCACGTACCCGCATCTGGTTGCACTTGATCTGCTCGGCGTGCGAGGTGACGCAGAGGCGGAGCGCGCGCACCGGGCACGAGCGCACCTCCATGATCGGCGTGAACGCGTCGCCCAGGTAGCGCAGGTACAGCTGGTCGTCGTGCTTGATCGGGTACAGCGACACGGTCGAGTCCTGCCGACGGCGCAGTCAGCGGGCGTCAGCGGTGCCATCGGGGCCGGCGGTGTCAGCAGGGTCCGCGGCCTTGACCCGCTATCGCCCGGGATGTACGAGAAATTGCATTTCCCCGGAACGTCCCGGGGACGACATACATTTAGATAGCCCTAATGCTCAGAGATGCGACTACGATTACACAGCCCGGCGGGTATGTGGGGCCTGCGTGGCACTAATGCAAACGGGCTGAGTGGATACCTGACCTGAGTCCCGTTCGGAGCAGCCAAGCACTCTGCCTGATCAGGCATGACTGATCACGACGTACGAACGAAAGCCGTACGAAAGACGTACGAAACGTACGTCGTAAAACGACGAACGAAACGACGTACGAAAGCCGACGTCCTAGCACATCCCAACATGATCGCTGCACTGGTTACTTTGTGCATGCCATTTTGTCATATGCTCGTCCACTGGAACGTATCTGGACTCGGTGGCTGTTGCCGGTATTAAGCATCGTCCGCCGTCTCCGCCCGACACACACCTGGAAGAGCAGGTTCGGCCGGACGCCGTAGCGGAAGGACTCGAACAGCGAGAAGCGGAAGTCGCCGTACGGATCGGGCGTGGTCGGCGAGGGCGAGCCGTACAGGTTCACCGCCTCCTGCGGAACGGACCGGCCGCCGTCAGCGGCACGCCGCCGGTCCCGCACGCCCGCGCGCCGGCTCTGCGCCCGGCTGACGCCACGACGGGCGACGGGCGACGATAGGTACTTGTTGCTGTATGCGTTGATAAGGGCACAGTGCGACAGTACGTTCGACACTGACGTTCATACAGAGGCTGTTCGCGTCCACGGCGACGCCAGAACCGCCAAGCCATGTGGTGATGTGTGGCCGACAGTGCGCGCATGCGTCCGCCCGTGATCCCTCAGATGTCGTGAAGCGCTGAACGACTCGCACCACACCAACGTCCCGGCACAGACCCAGCCCCGCTCATCAAGCCACCTCCGAACGCGGCCGTGTCCCGAGCATCAGACCCGTCGCCACGGGCGCTGGCGACCCGCCCGGCCGTGACCCCGGTCGCGCTCACCTTGAGGAAGCGCTGGTACTGGATGCGCAGCTCGCGCGGCCGCGCCGACGACGTCAGCACGGCGTGGCTGGGAATGCGGCCCCAGTTGCAGCGCAGGTACTCCGCGAGCGGCGCCCGCTTCCCGTCCAGACACAGCAGCTCGAACATCGTCTCGTCCAGGTCCGCTGCAACGGCGCCGCCGCGGCGTCACAACCGCTGGGAGGCGCCCCCGGCTCAGACGTGGACCCGTCCGGGGTGGCTCCGGTCGACACCGGGGGTCGCTTAGTGCGACTCGAATCCCCTGCCCTCATCTCCGGACTTTTTTAAGGCGCTGGCCAAGGCTCTGGTTCGGTTCGCTGGCGTCGCGGATGTGAACGCGTCCACGGGACGACGAGCACGCACACAGTCACGTCGGAGTCGCCCGAGGTGCGAGACTGCCAAACTAGAAGGCGACACATTACGTCGGGGGCAGGGGAGGGGTGGCACCGCGCCAGCTGGCGGTGCCGTCATCAAACACCGCCCCCGCCCCCCCCCCCCAAAAGACATTCGATTCGCTGGACTGCTGGCAAAACGTTGGTCCCATCGGGGCATGAAAAGTTCCACGAGCGCCTATGAAAATCACCCGTACCGTAACTCCATCCCGCGGCAATGAAAGCCACCAAACGAGCAATCCGGCAGTCCTAGCACCCCCTTCCACCCGGCCCGCTCCGCCGCGCCGGAGATCGCCGGCGCGTCGGCCGAGCGGCCGCCACTCACGCGGGATGGCCGTGCTGGTGATGGCCTGCTGGCCCGCCTGGCGGACGCCGGTGCCCTTGCGGAGGCCGGCGCTCATCATCTCGCGCGGCGTCGAGTGTTTGACGAAGGCGATGTCGCCGCCCTCCACCAGACAGCGGAAGGCGCCCTCGGTGCCGGCGTACGGGTCGGCGTCGGTGCACTTCTGGCCCGGCTGCTCGGCGCCGCACAGGTCACACAGCTTGTTGGAGTTGTCGCCTGACGGGGAGCGGACGTAGGTGTTGAGAACGGCGGGCCGCTTCACCGCAGTTAGGCCAACGGCGTGGGAGGACCGGCGCCCTACTCAGAGCACCCAGACACTTGGAGAGCACGGGGTTCGACACGCGACGCTTGGGCTGCCGCTGCCTTTCTGCCCCCCATCACAACAGATACGTCCCAGATCGACAGCAGGGATGGCACGATGAGGAGGGTCCCGTGTCAGGCGACGACACCGCACACCCGAGGCCCGGGCGTTTGGATCAGTAGCACGCGGCGCGGGGGCCGGCCGGCCGAACGGGCCACGGAGCCGGAGCCGGAGCCGGAGCCGGGGCGGGGTCCACGTACCGAGCGGGTTGTACTGGGTGGTCAGCGCTCCGACAGCACAGCTCTCCCCGAAAAACTCCGACACAGACTTGACGTGGTTGTTGCAGTCGGCGATGCTCATCTCACCCTTGGACATGAGCTGCCGAAGCGGATGTCACCGTCACCATCACAACACCAACACGACTGTCGACACCAGCCAGCATCTCCCTCTGTCCTCCGCCAACTATGCCGCCGGTGGACAAAACATGTGTACTACATGAGACGTTTGAAACGGCTCTGAAACCAGTTCACAGGATTGCGTGTACGACAAAATGTACTGCATGTAATGCATGCAAATGTAATGTACTGCATGTAATGCATGTAAATGCATGTACGAATAAACAGCACAACGCAAATTTCCAACGTAGGCTCGCAGTATGATCGGTTACGACAGACCGGTCAGAGCACCACCTTCTCCTCCCCAACGGTAACATGTCCGCATCGACACCAAGGGCCACAGAATCCACACGTTCCGCAGCATGTCGTCTCCAGTCTAGCCTGCCGTCAGTGGGGGTTGGCCGGCGGGTGGGCCGCCGGCGGCCGGGGCCGTCGCACCTTGGCGATGGGCATGACCCAGCCGGCCAGGCTGCCGACGCCCGAGAAGCAGGCCTTCTTGCCGCGGATGTCCGACAGGCGCCGGATGTCCGAGTCGCGCTTCACCACGGCCACCGAGTAGTACTCGCGCCCGCCGTCTGCCGCCGCCGGGGCAGTGTCAGCGCCGCGGCCGCGCGCCGCGGCACGAGCGCCGAGGCCGGCCCGGCACCCAGCGGCCGTGAGGGCGCGCGGGCACCGGCGGCGACCATAGGTCAGCACTGTGTCCCAGGAATCCCGCCCGAAATGCGACAAACCTCCGAAACCACAGCAATTTATTTAATATTCAGAAGTGCTAATGACGAATAGCCCCGATAACAGTTCTTGGCTTCAGTAGTTCATATGGCAGAAGCCTCAATATAACAGCTGTCCATTCTACCTGCAAAGCGAACTGCTCATCGTCCTGATGAAATCATCCCTGATGACTCGATAACACGTATAACTGGAACGTTCTTCACTTACCTGCATACACTTCCTGCATGATGGGGACCAGGCTATGGAAGCGACCGGCAATGAAGGTGAGGCCCGGGTCCAGGACCAGCAGGTCCGCCTGGTCCTGGTCCACCATCCGCATACACTCGCTGCTGTCGAAACCCTGACAGACAAAAATCGTGGAAGCATGAAGTGCAATACACTGCAGGGTAGTGCACTGGGCGTATGTCAAAGAATACAGGGACCAGTGGGCCTGGCATGCTGTTCAAGGATACAGTGACAATGAGGGGTGTGGGGGGGTGGGTGGGTGGGGGGGGGGGTGGGGGGGAGCTGTTTACAAGTGCTGAAATGAAATCGGGCAATGGCCAGAGGTCTACATAGGGTCGTCTGATGCAGTGGTCGGGCCTATTCAAATGTGTCCCAATTTGCCAGTGAGGCGCTTGGCGCGGCGATGGCCGAGCGAGGCGATAAAGAACGCCAGCGCTCCCAGTCCGCCTGGAGATAATGCCAAACGCCGGAGCCAAACGGAGCCAAACGCGTTTCGCAGCCCACACCAATGGGGCGAATCAAAGTGCTGAAAATGCCACCTTTCATGGCAGCTTCCTAGCCTGCTCCTTGGGGCCCACTGAGGTGGTATTTCACAAATAGCGCTGCTTGGAAATTGACTGAGTCCAGCTAAGTGTAGCAACTTCAAAAAAACAAACTGGTGATGCATTGTGATGTACACTTTTAGCTGTTGGGACCATTGCTTTTATTTTCTCTGTTATGATAAAAATGCAGACATTTTGGGTAAAATGATCACACACCACTAAACACCTCGAAGTTTTCGTGGCAACTTGTCTCTAAGTTCAGACCACAATATCTTGTGTCCCAGAGAGCTCCCGGAAAGGGTGTCATTAGCTGATAACCATCTGATTACTGGTAGTGGGCTGTAGCTGGCGTCGCCTGCCTCTCACCCTGGCAAGAGGGACGGGTACCACGGGGAATCGAGCCCAGTACTTCTGGTTTCCCTGACGCGCAATAGTAAACAAAGACATATTAACAGCTGCGGTAAAGGCGCGGCTGGTCTCACGTCACCCTCCACTCTGGGTGCCAAGATCTGACATGTTCTTAAAAACACTCCAAAATGGACAGAGCCATGGCTTGAGCATACAGGCATGGCACATGGCTTTTTGCACACAGCCCCCCCCCCCCCCCCATTGTTACCCATTGTATGGTTTCTCCTCAATCAGAAACCACAAATTGTTACTGTACAGATGGTGGGCAGGATCTGGACAGCCCAGATTCCTCCTCTGGTTTCAGTTATGACTGGAAAGGTCTACATTTTTGTGCTTATCAGATAGGAAAGGGGAACTTGTGATAATACTGGAACATTGGAGGAGCAGACACTGTGCCCACACTTAGTAATCCACATTGTTTAAAGCTGGATGAGCCTGTCAACAGTATTGCAACAACATCTGCAAATTACGACAATTAGGCAAGATTTGACTGTTTGAGCCAAACATGTTCTTATAGACCACAAGTGAAACTTGACTGGCCTAGTAGATCAGATTGCAAGAGATATTGGTTCCTCTATTTTAGCTGCTACCAAACAAACACCATGACAAGGTTGATCAGCCAACTTTGTATCTGACTACTCATGAAACAATTATTTGCATAGTGTGTGCCAAGCAGGGGTGCAGCTTCCTGGTTACAAGACGGGCCATGTCCAAGGACACACCAGATTGCCAGCATATTTGGAGGGATGCTTTGTCATTTCCCACTGCTCAGCATCTCCAACTCATTTTGAAAACAAACTATCTCCCTGACACTGAGGTAAAACTTATCAAAACCACCTTTGACATGACACCAATCAGATATGGGTGAAATTCAATATTAATTTAAATGTCACACTTACCTGCACACATTCCACTGAAAAAGCATTGAATCCAAACTTGTAGCTTTCTTTAATCAGGGTCTTGTTGAAATCTGAACATTTTTCTTGCTCATAGATGTTCAGCGTGCACCATCTTATGTGACCAGCAAACAATGCTGCAAAAGCAATTGGTCATTTTGAACACAATTAAGCAAATATGCATTGCTTGGTAGCACAAGGTTGATGCCACTGCACTCAGGACACAAATAGAACTCTTGGTGTCATACAGTTTGACCACAATTATTCTCATAACTGAGCCTTAATATTGGACAGAACTGTGATTATGACATATCCATACTAGCCAAGGTTAGCTCTAGGACATTAATGAATTGAATGATCAGAATGACAAAACCAGACTAACAGAAAGAACTGAAAATGTGATACTGGGTGACATCAAGGCAGTGGTGGTGTGAACATAATGATATACCCTAGTGTATCATGATAGTCTAGGAATTCAAATAGTAGCTCACTAGCTAAACCAGTTTAATAGTTTACACTATTTGTGCTGCTCAGAGATACACTGAACCAAACATAATATTTTTAGGTTCTTTCCAGGATAGTTATTATGACCAAATGTCCTGCCCAAAAATGCAAACTCAAAATTTTAGGTACAGAAAAGCATTTCCATTTTTATTCTGAGTGACAAAAGCTTGCTCTTTGATAGAGGCCAGTGAGCCAGTGAGACCAGTGGGCCATCACAGAGGCATTCATAGAGAGAACCATAAGCTTACAGACTCACAGGGGCCAGTAGGCCTGCAGAGACACAGAGAGACTGGTGAGCAGTGAACAGATGGATCTATCTGCTGATAATCCTTGAATATTAACATCATATACCCTTACATACATATTTCATATTATGCAATCACAGATATCTTTTATTTTATTCAACATTATTGAAAACAAACCTTCCATTGCAGTTTCAGGATGAAAAATTAGGTACTTTTGAAGTGCATTCTGATTGTGACTAGAGATTTATAATGATTATAATGCCTAAGTGAAGTACCTGGTGGTTTGCCACTTATGCCACAAGACCAGTCCAACCACAATAATCATCAATGAGCTGTGAATATCCCCACAATGATGGGTGAATATTCATGTCACATGTCACAGCTGCAATTTAGGCCCAATGTATGGAATGTGGCAGATTTTAAGATATCTTGTTGGGCAGGGTTGGGGCAAGAATTTGGGGTAGGTCTTACAGCTTTGAGTGCACAGGCATGGAAAACTGTTTTGGGTGATATCTGATCACATAATGGATATGGTACTGGACCAGGGTACAGATCACATGCGAACAGAAAATGTGTGATGGTTAAAACCAAAGATGTGCCATTCCATAACAATAAGGGCAACCCAAAGACCAAAAACCTCCAAATAAAAAAGCCATCTGCCTCATGGGGCAGTATTGGACCTGTTCTCAACATCATATTAAATGGTCTGCCACCTTTTCCAGACCAGGTTGAGGTCGATAAATTCACGTTACTTATATTCAATAGATTAACAGGTGCAACCTGGTTGATGACATTCAGACTGAGCTGAATGCGTATTAGGAATTTGGGTATCGATGCACCACAACCGCCTCGTTGTTTGGCGCCCCAAATACACCTTAAATGCGACAAAATTACTCACCTTCAGACTGGCCCCACACGAATATAATAAGCACACAGGCACCAAATTTCCGCACGGCAGAATGAGATCCCATGTCGGATGCGAAAGCAACGCGGAAGCTCGACACTTTTCGGCTATGTTGTGGACGTGCTACGCCATTCCATGCACTGGATCCAATCTTTTAACGCAACGGAACAATCTTGATGATTTTGCAAGCAAAGATAACCAGCGTTAGAGCTGTGAAATCAAGATAATGCTCAAAATAAACAGCGACGAATTCAAAACGCAGCGGCGGCCAGGTACTTCAAAACAATGCAGAGCTGCGTCGCATTAAGTGCGCTCGGGTGTGTCTACCAAGAGTTCTAAAAATAACAAGGCTTTATCAGCGCTGGGCGGAAGTGTTGAACACACCTAAGACAGATGACTAAAAGTCCGAAATTTCCAACGCAATAATTAACCTATGGCTTGACAGCATGAACCCAAGCCTATAGCAAGTTAATTGTTCAATTTCCTTCAATGGTGGGGACGGTATCAGCCGTTCTCTCCTGAGCGACGGCGTACCGGGCAAAGTGCGCCCCTGGACGGCTGGGAGGCGAGGGAGGCCGTTTATTATACATGCACCGTCGCAATATGTCGCAGAATGGTTTCAGGTACCGTGGGCGCTGCGTAATTAGGACTGACGCCGTCGTGGGCAGAGGGACAGGGAGAGGGGACGGACACGCCCCCCCCCCCACGACTCTGACAATTCCTGTAAAACCCGTGCCATGCTCGCGATAAATTAGGCTTCGTAAACAGGATTAACCGTTCCATTTCCCCAGACACCGCGACGCCTCCGTACGCAATTAACACCTCCCCTTTTTTCAACAGTCATGCACCTGGGACTCAGCCACACAGTGAACATATCCGGATGTTTTCGAGGTCGGTTTGCTCACCCTGTTGAGGACGCCCACAGCGCGACACATCGAGTACCGTAAACAAAGTCATTACGCCCCACTAAACGCTGTTTAACCAACACATCACCTGACGTGCGGGGTGTTCAGGTTGTGTGGCGTGTTGTAAGGTGACTTAAAAGACGACATTAGCTCACCATTAAAGCGTTTTACTCATAACCCCGAAAAAAGAGCTGAAGTTCTGTCTTGTGTATATCAAATCTCATCCAAATTAATCGCTCGCCACGCATGCAGCCGGCGTACATTATCATGTAGCACGTGATGGGTCAGTTCGCTCACTCCTGCAGTGTCAGCATATCGTGTTGTCAGCAGCTGGCCCTGAAGTTAGCGCCGCAAACAAATCTGATGGCGAATGCGACAAGTTTTCAATTTTCGGACACATACATGTGCCCTGTGAAACCTTTGACGAGTATGACGAGTTCACAATGTTCGGGCACATACATGAACCCTGTGAGAAGCCTTCAAACACACCGTCCGTAGCACATTATATTATCAGCACGCAACATATCGACAGCGCACAGTCCCCCTGTCCGCAGCACTAGAACACTATCGACGGGTCTGCCATCTGGTGCACGTCCGGATGATAGATGTCCTCCGGGAGATCCGCCACCTCTTCTGGGGTCAGCAGTTTCGCCGGCTCCTTCTTTTTCCTGCGATAACGAAAATACTATGGGGCCGAGCGCGCTTCCCCTAGCAACGGCCGCGCGTGCAAAACATGTACTTCACACGCATGGCTGAGCCATACCATGCTAATAACGCCAGTGTCCAGAGCTGGTGCGGGCGTCGACGGGCAAAGAAAAGCATCGATTGTTTTACGGACACCGCATGAAACGACAGGAAACTAGGACACTTTTCACTCTTGAAACAGCCAGCAAAGGACCTTATAAGTAGCTGACTAGAACCTGTAACCCAGCCGACCTGCCCTGACTCGACAGCCGGTGGCCAGCGCGTAACCTGACCTGAGCGGCAGGACCGTGTCGTAGATAAGGACGTAGCTGTTGTGGTCTCCCGGGACCGCCGGCCCTCTCACATAGATCACGTCATACTTGGTGTTGATCCTCAGGATCTGCCGCGGACAGCACGCAGACAGAGGTCACGGAGAGCGGACCGCCGCATCGGTCAGGAACCGGCAGCTCACAGCCTGCCGCTCTGCCCACTGACAGCGTCGGGGCTCGCCGGTGGCGGCGACACAAGCCGTCCGGCACGACTAACGCCACAGCAGACGTCGTCGTGTGACGCTGACACTGGTCTGGCACTAGCAGGGAATCACGCCACATGGGCGTGGAGAGTATAGCGGCTTTCATTTACAGCCTCTGAAACACCTCGTAAACCCACGCTCATAACTCTTTACGACGGGCTTATCTTCATTCCCCGGTTACACCATTGTCATGGGTCGTTTTTAACGATAACTGCTTTTGGTACGAGACATCCAAAACATTTACAAACCATGGACCTGACAAATTCGAACACATCACCTTATCTTTTTCTGCGTCGCAGAGCTTAAGCCTGTGGTGCCCAAACATTGTTCGCCACCCGTCCGGGGCCAGTGCAAGCCACATCCGCACCACACCAGCCTGCCAAGTGCCCGCGCCGGTGCCCCCCGCCCACCTTGAGTCCGCGCAGGTTGCGGTGGTGACCACACCAGCCTGCCAAGTGCCCGCGCCGGTGCCCCCGCCCACCTTGAGTCCGTGCAGGTTACGGTAGTGACCACACCAGCCTGCCAAACATCAGCGCCGGTGCCCCCGCCCACCTTGAGTCCGTGCAGGCTGCGGTAGTGACCACACCAGCCTGTCAAGCACCAGCGCTGGTGTCCCCTGCCCACCTTGAGTCCGCACAGGCTGCGGTAGTGACCATACCAGCCTGCTAAGCACCAGCGCCGGCGCCACATGCCCATTTGGAGTCCGCGCGGGTTGCGGCAGTGACCATACCAGCCTGCCAAGCACCACCACCCGTGCCCCCCGCCCACCTTGAGTCCGCGCAGGCTGCGGTAGCGGCCGCCCATGTGCCCGGGCATCTTCTGGCCGGGCCAGACGCGCGCCTTGTTGGCGCCGCTGCCGATGCCGCCCGGCCGCCGGTGCGTCTTGGTGGCGCCGTGCGTGGCCGGCTGGCCGGCGAAGCCCCACCGTTTCATCACGCCCTGGAAGCCCCGCTCCTTGCTGGCGGCAGGTGGACGACGGACGGTCAGTCGAGCCCGCCGGGCCTGCGCCTCGCCGCCGACACAACACAGGCGTAGGTCGGCCCAGGTGCTCCTCAGCCACCGGCTCGGGCCAGCAGCAGCGAAACACGACAGGTTCGTCAAGCTTCGATAATCGGCCTGACCTTCCATTCATACCGGCTGACTGTGATCCGCATATGACACGCTTAGTTTTTTAATGACGCGATATTAGCCTCGCGACAACGGAGAAGCTCTCCAGCTAGACCGCCAACAGCCTTTTCACTGCAGTGACATGAATGCGCAGTAAGACCAGGTCACAGACACTCGACGCAGCCTGCAAACTCTGCCAATCACAATGCTCCCTCAGTACAGGAAAAAAGCTAAAACGGCACATGCGGCTCTGATCAGTATGCCAAACAATTATGCTCGAAGGACAGCTGGCGTGATCCGTGGGGCACGACTGCCCAAGCCTCAAACGTCTATGACCCGCAGTGCCAAAAACCCCGCGATTTCCTAATGACTGGAGCAGAGCTACAGGATCAGCTCAGAAGGTTGTCATAACAGCAGTGCCCACACACATGAAACAAACACATCACGTGACAGAACAAACAAAACCTGACCCGCTCGGGTGGGCCGGGAACCGATTCGACCAATAAGCTCGCATCTCCCTCGCAAGTCCACCATAATTGAAACAGGCCAGGGACTCACGTTTTGCCGAACACATCCACGAAGTCTCCGACGTTGAAGTGGGTGGCCCGCAGCACGGTCCCTGGCGACAGCGCAGCCGACGGGTTGATGACAAAGCGGGTCAGCTTCCTCGTCGGCATGATGCCCGCCTCCAGGAACAGGTTGGCGTACTCCTTCGTGAACTGCAAGTGGTGCGCGTGTCAAGAGGGAAGTCAGCGGCCGCACGGCTCAGCCCAAACGTCAACACAACACAAGATACTCCGTATCCGGACCCGGCATCAATTAGATGTATCTACCAACGCAAATCTACGTGACCAGGCACATGCCCTTATCTCCAAGAACGACTTTTTCGATAGTGTAGAGAGCTGTCCTACGTGCCTCCGTGTCCGCACCCTGTATCCATCACATGTGACAACACCAGGGGCCGGAGCGTCGGCGGCGCACCTTCTGCGGGTCCTCCTGGTCGGCGCCCACCACCAGGCCGGCCATGTCGCGGAACTGGCCCTTCCAGCGGCGCTGGACCACCTCGTTCGTGTTCAGCAGCTCCGGCGGCAGGTAGCGCACCACGTGATTATCACGCACCTGGCGGAGCCGCCGGCGCGCGCCGCCGTCAGACGGTGAGACGCGCTGTCGCAACACGGCGACACGGCCGACACACATCGCGGCGTAGTCTTCGATATAATGAGACACATGCCATGGTCACGGAGCACCGCGAACCCTTCACGAAACACAATCTCTCAACAGCTTACGTATTTCGACGCCTACTTTCTACGAGGGGGGAAAGGGGGGGGGGGGAGAAGGGCGTCAGAGGGCGCAGACGCACAACCGGTGGGCGAGGTTTAGTGGGCACAGGAGTCGAGCACGGTCTACTAGTTGTGATGCCACAATGAGCACTGGCGCCCTGAGTGCAAAGCCACGAGCATGGGGCGAGCGAGCACGCGCACCAGGCGATCAAATCACGGATCGCCACATTGGAGCTTCACTTGGCCCCACCGTCTTCCTTAAACAGCGCCCCTTCCCAGCTCCCACCTGCCGCAGCAGCGCCACCGGCGCCCACTCACGTGTAGCAGGGTGGCGTTGATGTACTTCCCGTTCTTCAGCCACATGGGTTGGACGCCGATCTTGCGCGCGATCAGGCCGGTGCGCACCACGCCCGGCGTATAGGGTATCGGCGGCGCGGCCGCCGGCTGGCGCAGCGGCGACGCGCGCCGGTCCTCCACCGCCTCGCGCAGGAAGGCCTCGTTCTCGGCGCTCAGCTCCTCCGGGTAGGCCTGCCGGGCGGCGCGCAGTGCTGGTGAGCGGTCAGCGCGGCGGCGCAAAGATGGATGGCGGGGAGAGGGTAAGGAAATGTGACCAACGGGTACGGTGATAGGCGACGGGAAGAGTCAGGGAGATGTGGACCCCGGGTACGGTGGTGGGCGGCGGGAGGAGTCAGGGGAGATGTGGACCCCGGGTACGGTGGTGGGCGGCGGGGAGGGATCAGGGTAGATGTGGACCGCCGGGTACGGTGGTGGGCGGCGGGGAGGGGTCAGGGAGATTGTGGACCGGGTACGGTGGTGGACGGCGGGGAGGGTTACGGTAGATGGAATCACTGGGTGCGGTGGTGGGCGGCGGGGAGGGGTCAGGGGAGATGTGGACCCGGGTACGGTGGTGGGCGGCGGGGAGGGGTCGGTAGATGTGGACCACGGTACGGTGGTGGTGGGCGGCGGGGAGGGGTCGGGGAGATGTGGACCCGGGTACGGTGGTGGGCGGCGGGGAGGGGTTACGGTAGATGTGACCACTGGGTGCGGTGGTGGGCGGCGGGGAGGGGTCAGGGGAGATGGGACCCGGGTACGGTGGTGGGCGGCGGGGAGGGGTCAGGGGAGATGTGGACCCGGGTACGGTGGGGCGGCGGGGAGGGGTCAGGGGAGATGTGGACCTGGGTACGGTGGTGGGGCGGCGGGGAGGAGTCAGGGGAGATGTGGACCCGGGTACGGTGTGGGCGGCGGGGAGGGGTCGGTAGATGTGGACCCGGTACGGTGGTGGGCGGCGGGGAGGGGTCAGGGGAGATGTGGACCCGGGTACGGTGGTGGGCGGCGGGGAGGGGTTACGGTAGATGTGAACCACTGGGGCGGTGGTGGGCGGCGGGGAGGGTCAGGGGAGATGTGGACCCGGGTACGGTGGTGGGCGGCGGGGAGGGTCAGGGGAGATGTGGACCCGGGTACGGTGGTGGGCGGCGGGGAGGAGTCAGGGGAGATGTGGACCTCAGGTACGGTGGTGGGCGGCGGGGAGGGGTCAGGGGGGGAGATGTGGACCCGGGTACGGTGGTGAGCGGCGGGGAGGGGTTACGGTAGATGTGAACCACTGGGTACGGTGGTGGGCGGCGGGGAGGGGTCAGGGAAGATGTGGACCCGGGTACGGTGGTGGGCGGCGGTAAGGGATTAGGGTAGATGTGGACCACCGGGCACAGTGGTGGGCGGCGGGAGAGGTTAGGATAGAGGTGGACCACCGGCTAAGTACGGTGGTGGGCGTAAGAGGGACGGTCCGCGGAGTGATCTCGCGCGGAAGGACAGCGCCCGCAGCGGGCGTGGCAGGGACTAACGGAGGTTATATACAATAAATGTTCTTGTTGAATGGGCGATCCGACCTTTGGATGCTTCTCAAACCGAACTGCCGAGCACAGCCGTCACAAAAAGTACCTGAGCAAATGTGCGAAATCAGTCCGTTTATCAAATTGCGTCCATGACATCGCAAAAGTGCCGAAATCAGCCAACGCAAACAACTTTAGGCAATCCAATTTTGATGTAAGTAACAAAGAGGCGCATGCTGGGGTCGGCGCACAGCTGTAATCAGCGCCCCACTTGAAGCATGGTAGCAGCTACACCCGTGCTGGCAGCCAGCCCATGAGTTCGAACGGCTCATGGTAACGCTGTATTGAATTGGGCTAACTTGACTCGACAGGTTCTGACACTACTCACGGCAGACGACATTTATCTCTTCACCAACTTTAATTGGGCTCGACTCTTTTGGGTTGGAACACTTCGGAGGTATAATTTTGTTACGAGCGAGGCGGCAGGATGAGCACGTCTTACCTGAACTATGAGGAGATTAATAATACCAGCGGCTCTGTCCCACTAGGTTGTCATGAAGTTCCCATCAACAGGAAGCAATAGTACCTTACAGGACGTGTTCCACATTTGTTTTCAATTAAAACAGCCATATTGACCTTTCAATGGAGCTCATGGCCAATCCCCTTTAAAGACCTAAAGCCCTCTGGTTCCTGAGCCTTACGGCCGCAAAAATGTGGGATAGTACTTGTGGGAGTATTTCAAGGTCGCCTTGGCATTCATGACGTTATAATAACGCCAATGAAATTCCGCCATTCCTTCAGCTGTGCAGCTATCAGAGCAAAAAAAAAGTGGTCGAGTCGCTTATATCTGGTGTTCACGAGCACGACATCCGGATTTATTGGCCGTCAATTGGCTCTCTGTTGGGTACGATGACGTAATAAAAAATGACGCATCGGGGAACACATTTGCTTAACAGGAAACTTGTGTTGTATATAGGGTTGTGTTATATGTATGAACTTGCCTTTTCCACTTAAAAGTCTATCAATAGTTAGAAGTAAGCTGGTTTCATCCCATCGGATGTTTGCTTCAATGTCTTCAAGCGTGAAACATTCTCTTTACCATTTGTGCGTAAAAATTGTTATGCAATGTCGTGCATGCCATTTGAGCGTCCCCGTTTTCCTTCCGTAAACATTCCAGTATCGCCCAACCTGGATGTCCTGCATTCGATTACAAAGATAAACGTAGCATTTTCATTTATACGAACACTGATCCAAACCGGATAAAAATCCAACGATCTCGTGTCAGAGTAACACAAGCCTGATGTGCTACGACGGAGGGGAAAACGGACACCCGTACTGGGAAAATCAGGGATCGGCGCGTGGCGTTAGCAACCACAGTTAACGCCAGGCGACGGGCGGGGGAATGCGAGAACAACCGCGCGGCGAGAAAGAATATTGCCGAAGCCCTCTCAAAAAAAAAATCGCGCGGTTTAATGCTAGACCAGTGCATTACCTCACTCAAATCATTTTGAAGGTTCAACGGATTACAAGCTAGAGCAACACGAACAACAGGGAAGCCATTACTGAAGAATTGACGTCGCTCTGAATGCTTACCCGTTCTGCGTATCAATCTGACAATTGTAGACAAATTTTACGGCTTGAACTACCGGCCATATGTGCGAACAGATTACGTCACACATTCGGGGGTGCTACTTCCCGATGTCTGGAACGCCGCACCAGGAGGGCATGCCCCCGCCCGTTCGCACCCTCCCGCCGTCAGCCACCGGAGCCAATGCCACGCTACCAATGGAGACTGCAACTTTCAGATTAGGTGCTTCTGCTTATACAAATTGTAATTGCACGAGCTGAAACTTTTTAACTTATTTTACAAAACGATCCACAAGGAAAACCATTACTCGACAAACATAGGTAAGCCACATCCATGCAGAATTTTGAACCATGTTTGAGCGTGGCGGGCGGGGGTGGGGTGTGTGTGATCAGCAGCAGTGGTTCTTCACCAACCCAGTGCCCCTTCCTTGCCAAGACTCTGGCTGTACACTGGTAGCAAGCACACATGATATCAGCCTGGCTGGATCACAATAAGTTACTGATAGTAACTCAGACACATCAGCATCAGTAACATAAGTAACAGTTACTATCAGTAACTGAGTTACTATACTGATAGTAACTCGGTGTCATAAACTCAGCCTTACATACAATACTCACATCCAGATGACCTGATTTATTAGTTTTCTCATTTTCTTAAAATGATACAACATCCATGGAAAGCCTCCTCTAGAACTCCTGCACACCCTTGAAGATACCACTGATCAAAGTCATGATACTTACTGCTCTCTCTTTCTTCATCCAAAAGTGCCTGGGTGCTGTGTGCCTCTGCTTAACCCTGGACATGCACCTGATTTGGGTATAGCTGGCAGACTCTCTGAAAATATGCCCAAATCGGGTTATAGCTGGCAAATTATCAGAACATATGAAAAATGGATCATTACCATAGCAGTCAATAAACAGTGCCTGCAATTAAAAGGCTAGTACAGTTCCAATCCCTACCACACTTGCCAGGTATGCCATGTAATCATAGGTCATAGCAAACTCCACTTACAAGCACATCTCTAGCTGCAACTTTACCAATATACACTAAAAACCTACTCCCATTCAAGAAAATGCTAAACTCACATCATCTTACTGACAATCTGTGACTTCAGCAACAGCTGAATTGGTCTTGAACAGTTCATCTTGTTTGTGTAACAATTGAGGGATGCTTTATTCTCAGTTTAAATATCTGCAAACATATGAAAAGTTAAGTACATTATACACCAGGGACACATTTTATTTTGTACAACAACTGTACAGGCAGAATGTAGGACACAGATACACAGCCATTAAACAAGACTAAAAATGCTGTTACATGCTATTACCTTAATGGAGTAACATGAATTTCAACCAAGAGATGAGCTCAATATTGCACTTCCAATATCCTTCCACTTTTTATATTTTGTAGTCACCACTTGAGTGATCTGATGATTTATTGTGTGCTTTGAGTCTCTATAACACTCCATTAATAAATAACAGCAATATATAGCATACAATATTTTGATATCACAGCACAAATCATCTGATGATTTCTTGTGTTTTCTCTCTCTATGGAATTCCATTGATAAAAAAACATCATAGACATATGATTATCACTTGTGGTCCATTCTATGGATTAGGATCAGCTTCAGGGGCCAATTCACACCCACCTGAACTCACTACATACATGCACAATCCCCTCCGCATTTGAATGTCCAAAGGGAGGGACAGTGTTTGTGAATGATGTGCTGTGTTTTATGTTGGCACCAGAGCATCAGTCTCATGCAGAAAAAAAGTCAGCTGAAACAAATCAAACTTCATACATGAGACAACAACAATATATGATTGCCATAATAATGGTCCCAAGACCCACCCAAAACTGTGATATTATCTGTAAGCCGCACACAATAAACAAAAGAAAGTATTATAAAAGGTGTTAGCGGATTACCAACCGAGATGAAGTAACAATGTAAGACTCCGAAATGCCCAAAACTTTACGGAACCTACGGAAAATGCACAGAAAAGGACAACCATCCCTGACATCTCATAACATATCCACGATACTTACCCGCTCTCCTAAGCAATCAGTCAGAAAGACACCGCCAACCACTTCAACAAATACATAATCTACAGGCGCATTTCTTAGTGTTTAGTTCACGCTCAATTCTCAAGTCTTCTCCCCGCAATGATCACGAGCGCCCTTGCGAACGCCCTAGATCACGAAATAACCGCACGCGAAATCGAAACAAGCCGCACGTCGTAACGTCTGCGTCGAAAACGAAACATTACAAATTCGCAAACTCAAGACAAATGTGGCTGTCATTGTTTTTATAATGGTTGTAATGCCTAACCTTTGAATTGCTCACGTCCATTGCAGTGCTAACCATATAATTTTTCATGCAAGACAGTAGCTTGACTGGTTTTTCAATGTTTTTGATTGTTTTTTACCTAACAGAGGCAAACCGAAACTCAATCACTGGTTTCGAACAGCGTTCAGAAACAAATGTCATGTGTGACACCAACCTACTGTTTTACCTGCGACGAAACAAAAACATGCAAAAAGTCTGTTTGTGGTGTCCAGAAGAGGAATAAAATGGTATGAATTCAGATATATTGAACTCACATGAAAGAACCACCTACACTGACAGAGCAATCTCGGTGAAGAACTGCCTTAGCATCAAGCATTATTAAATAAACCCAGCTTCTACCCGATTCATCCGGTCAAATCACGCTTTTGACATTGAAATATCCGTTTTTCTCGCAATTTAGCAATAAGACCTTCGTGTCTGTGTTCTCTGCGAAGAGAACACGAAATAACTATCTGTCCCCGAAGATTACATATGAGTAAAACCGTAGCTAAGGCCCTGGCGCATTTGCTATCCGCGCCAAGGTTATTGTGAGCGGTTGTTGACATCGCTGGCGGCGTGTTTCCCGTGGTCGCGTGGGTGCTGTGTGGCTGGGTGTGATCGCGAAAAGTGGGGGCAATAGGAGTCCAGCATCAACTGCTGGACGATTTTCAGAAAGCCAGCCTCTCCTGTGCCAGGTAGGGCTATAGGGCGGCCTCTAGATGGTGTGGGTCAACCGCAAGGTGTAGTCCTGTTTGAAGTTGCCCGTTTTGTTTGACTGTCGCTCGGCGTCTGCGCAGTACGTCATGGAGCCTCGTTTGAAAATAGCCGAGGTGTTGAATACAATTGGCTGAAAACTTATGAGGTGAGGTTTGTTTGAGTGTAAAACGGTATGGTTTATCGTCATTTATGTCGCCTACGTTGTGGCAAAGGGGCTGTAATCATGGTAGCCACCTATTAATCCAAGTTGTCAGATACCTTCAATTATTACACAGCTGCCATAGCGATCCACACTTGGCTTGGTACCAGCAGCAGGTATCACAAGTACCTGCAGTGATTTCACCAGTGTTAGTTTGTTTGCTCTTTTATACCTCCTCACTCACCTTGTTTTTAAAAAATGTGATTGGTAGGTTGTTTAAATTAGGGCTGCCATGCATGTGAAGCAGTGCATAGGCCATTTGTCCCATCCACTTGATAGGCACACACCATCCCACAAAGTACATTTTCAGCATGCACTCTATTTGCATTAGTTGTTGGTGCACTTGTGGAGAACATCATGCATATAAATAAGACAGAGCTGTTAACCCATTATTTGTTGAATAACCAATAACCACTTTTTCAGCTGAAATAAGGGGAAAAGAGATTTGTTATTTGGCTTGATTTGCTTGGAACTGCTAGAAAAGTTATGATGTGCTACATGCTATGCAGTTCCTTTGTGAGGTGAAATGTTTTTTCTCACTTCCTAGCTGACAGTTGCAAAATTATCAGGTTGAGCTGCCAATTTTTAATGCTTAAACTGGATGATGCCAGAGCTTAGGAGATCTTATTGAACTCAGAGATGTAAAGGAGGAAAAAGGCTATTTCCAGGATGTGGAAAATGAGGCAAAAAGATGTATAATTAGGTTACATAGAGAATCAGAGTAATGCTTATTCTGCAAAACAAATGTTATTTATTGCCTTGCCTGGATGGCAAAGCAAAATCTGACTACTTTAGTAATTGTAGCTTTTTTATTAGGATATTCTGCAAGTTTAACCATTTGCTCTTTCTACGTCCACCTCTGTGGGTGCAAATTATGGCCAGAAGCAATACTGACTTAGTGCTTTACATTATTGTATTACTCTGGAACTTAACACCTCACAAAATCTATAGACACATAATATTAGTATTTGCAAACAAGAACAGGATCTTATTGAGATATATAAATCTAGTATACATGACATTATCATGGATAAAAATGCAACAAATACAGTCCCATAGCCAACAATTGGGTGTCCGTGGCCAGAATAGCAAATTTGTACATAAAGACTATTAAGTGACTGCTGTTTACATGTACACCCAACATTACCACACCCCCAAGTAACTCTTTATTTGTGTTAGGGTGTGCACAATTTGTTAATTCACAGAAACATATATATATATATATATATATATATATATATATGTACATACATGAAACATTTGTTCAAGCTTGACAAGTCTGGCATCAACACTATAGTCTTGCACACCACAACTTATTAAAGGATCACATTGCACTCACCTCCTTAGACCTTAGCTTGCATGAGGTTTACCCATACTGCTCAGTCGCATAATGCAGCTGTCATGCTTTTAAGTGGTTGGCATCCAAAGAGCACCATTCCTCTCATACCATTGATTAATTACTTAAGCATCAGATCCTTTAGTCATCTTATGCACCAGCACATGTGTTACATCACAAATCATGACATTTTGTCAGTCATGCTATATGGGAGCTTGTAGCTGTTTTTAGGTTCTTCAGCATTAGGAGTTAAGGACAGGCTCACAGTAGAAACATAGTCTACAATCAATAGGTAAAAGGTGAATAGGGCTGCAGGCAGTAGGTGTTGCAAAACAGCTCTGATGTTGCCATGGCACCCAAAGGATAACAGTGACATTACAAATCATGGGGACAGGCTTCCTTTTTCAGGGTTTCTGGTCAGTATAGACATATATTCAACACAAACAGCAAACCACTGGAAAGTCTGATTGGTCGGCGTTCTGAATCTGAGTCAGTTTTGCATATGGCCTGTCGAGGCTCGATAGAACTGCACGGTGCTTTCATTCCAGAAGGGTCTTGGAACAGAAAGTCAGGCCTGCATGTGAGATTGTGATATGACACAGGCATGATATCTGGCATGCTCTCGGAGCTGTCGGTTGACCTATTCCTGGAGAGCTTGCCTAACCCGCCACGAAGGCACTCCCTGCATGGTTTCAAGTCGGGAGCATAGCTACATTCCACGTGATGGCTCTGTATAAACCTCAACGGCGCTGGGACGAGGCGTGTCGCTGGGATATTGTTTACGGCGCGCGCCGGCAGCGAGCTTAATCTCTCGCCAGTGCTGACCAGAGCAAACCGCCGTCACTGTCACCAACGTGTTCTGAACTGCTGAGTAAACGGATTGTCTAGGGAAAGTGCGGAAGAGCTCAAGATGTAGTACTCTTAATGTTGGCATTATCTGTCAACTGAAGCACACGCAGTCCTGGCGCCAGCCGTGTTAAAACCTCCACCCGCCACTTACTGGCAGGCTTCAACTAGGAGGAAGCCACGTACGAACAACATACAAACATTACGAAAGATGGGCTCAGCAGGCCAACGGGTGGCATAGGGCACGCCTCTACATGTGCGACCCCGGTGAACCGCTCGACGTGTCCAGGGCCCCGCGGAGCCCCAGCGCGGCTGTCTGTTTGTCTCCGACTGGAGCGAGGTCAACGATGCAGGACATTCGCCCGTCCCCCTCGTTGAGCTCGCAGCGCCGGCCTTCGCGTCGCCCGAGTTGACCGATCTCCGCCGGCTGCGCGGACAAACATTCCGGGCCGTCATCCAGTCAGTCGCCATCGCCGTAATCGGCCCTCGCAGCCGTCCGATGCCGGCGCCGGGAGTGGCGTGTGCGGCGGACTCCCGAGGGGTTCGTGGGGGCTTCCTCGCTGGCACCGCGGCGCGTGCCGCTCGCCCGACCCGGTGTTATTAAAGGGAATGCTTCACATTTGAAGATATTGAAGCAGGCATAAGATAAGACGAAACAAGCTCACTTACAACTATTGGTAGACAATTAAGTGGGGAAGACTGCTGTAGACAACACAGTTTCTCTATTTAATAACTATGCTCCTCGATATGTCATTGCTTGATTACACCATCATACCTTGCACAACATTGATTGAGAGCCCATTGTCGGTCGTTCTATCTAGAAATAATGCTCACGAACGCCAGATATGAACGTCTTAACCATTTTATTTCTATCGGTCTTGATCGGTGCATGGCTTATAGAATGACAAGATTTGAATGACTTTCCTATATAATGAATGCAAAATAAACCTGAAAGACTCTCCCAGAAACACCCGCCCCAGTTTGGCCTGAGTGTAGCGCAGAAACTAGAGGATTTAGATCTTAAAAGGGCAGAGCTGTGAGCTGTCCGGAAAGGTTATCAATGTGACTATTTCATTTCAAAACTTCGTTCAAATGTGGAACACACTGACCCGGTGTCGCTCCACCCAAGGGCATTATGCACGAGTGGACCAAGATATTGCGGGGAAACATTGCGTGGCCCACCGAAGCAGTACGCAAAGTCGGATGCAGTACCTGGTGCATCCGGATAGTTTGTAAGCTATGGTCCTATTTCAACACTCGCCCCACACTCCATACTTTCCCTGAAGCGGTAGCCATCGGGCGCCCTCCCACGGCTGTGGCGGCGCGTCCGCCTGCGTGCCGCGCGCCGAGCGGGCTCAGCCAGCGCGCACGGCCGGGCGAATCTGGAGCCGGCCGCGCGCGGTCTCAAGTGGCGCCCATTGAGCCGGCGGCAGACGCGACGCGGGCGGCCGGGTGTCGGCAGCGGCCAGCCGTTTGGCGAGCATTGTTTTCGCCGCCGGACGAACAAAGCCCGCCAGTGGCGTGCCTGCCGGGCAGACGGCGGCGGGGACGAGACCGACGCGGTTGCCGAGGCGGCGGCCAACCCGCGGCGGCGGCGCTGCCCGCGCTCAGGGCAGCCGGGTACTGAGGGGGTGGGAGGAGGTTAGCCCAGAAGGCCTACAAAAGGCCCCGGCTGGCGCCGCCTGTGGCGACACGAGTTCGTGGCGCGCCCTCCAGCCGCGCGAAACAATAATTGTACCATCCAGATGGCCCCTTCTCCATCGTCATGAATGGTTAAATTGTGGG